AACTACTGCCCATCAACATGGCTGAGGAAGTTTTCCATGGCCAGTTGTGAGATACAGGAAAAAGGGACTGCAGGGGGAATATGACAGATGATGAAGAGAATGAAAAAGCACATATAAAAAAAGGTGCGAGTCAACCAGACAATTTTATGTAATTAACCAGATAAATCTCGATTTACAACAAATCAAACCTGTGTGCTGCTCACCTCAACGCCACGTTACAATGTGGACATACGGCACTGCCACCAATCAATAAGAATAAAGGGAAACCCCAAGCACTCGGAAGCAATTCGGAACCACCAGTATGAAATTAAAATCACTACCCACATTTCATCTTGTTCAGCAAAACCAGCACATCCAAAATACTAGAGCTGATTCGGAATTATTATAACAGTAAATGTAGCAGAACAGATAATGCTTACATGTGAGGAGGGCAGTGTTCAGTATCCTTGCAAATTTTGATGATCTTTTGCCTATGGAGGTGTAATTAGTGGTGTAACATAAAAGACACAAGGCCCAGGTAACTGTTAATTGATAGCAATTGATCTGAGAGAGAAAAGGCCGCCAAAAGAGAAGGCTGCCTCAGGAAAAAAAAAAAAAGGAAAGAAAAAAGAGTATGATCATAGAGGAAATTGGGTGAAGATTTCATTCTATCTGGGGCAGAGACCCTTCATTTGTTGTGCATTTTTTTTTCTTTTTTTCCTTTTTTAAAAATTTGTCTATTCCTGCCTTCAAGAAGCCCTGATGCTATTTGAGAACTTTTTGGTATTACTACAGTAGTGGTAGTTGCCATCACCTGTTGAACATTAACATTGAAGAAAGAAGCGGAGTTGGGAAACAGTAACTTATTAATGAATTTGAATGGGTGCTGCTGAACAAGCTCTCTGTGTGACTCTGCAGAGATTCTGCATCCAAGTTCTATTGATTTTCAGCATGGTTGACAAAACATGAAGATGAAAGGTACTTATTTCATAGCTTATGCTAGATATAACTAATTAACTACAATTTTCATGTATCTACAATTTAATTCTAGTTCATTTAATCATGGTAATTATATTTTTAAGACAATGCAATTGTCTACTTTCTGTTGTCATAAACTAGAAGTGTGTCAAAAGAAGCAACTTTCTGTAGACATGGGGAGAGGGAAGTGTGATTTAGCCAAGAGAAGAGATAAGCAGCAACGCTCATCACGACAGAATCTTTTCACTCTGAAACACTATTAATAAATAATCGGTTCTGATGATTGGTGAGGGTCCCTTGACAAATTTACAGTTTACATGAAAGGTCTATCAGGTACTGTATTTTATGAAAAAGAATAAGTATAAACTGTCAGTAATGAACAGCAGAAGACTGTGTGTGTGGCTTTTTTAATCAATCATGAACACAATCAAGAATCTTTTTAGTAATTATGTAACAGCCTTATTAAAAAGAAACCCCTTGCAGCATGATTTTCAGCTTTTGTTTGCCTTCTTCACTGTTGCCAGATGTTTTATTGGTCTCCAACAGAATCATCTAGGTCTTCTGCCCACGTGGTTACAGCTAATGTAGGACTAATAGGACTCCACTATTTGTGGTTCAAATGATTCTTTTTGAAGTCTTGCCATGCACTTGTCAATACCAGATTTCTTTTGCCGTCATGCTCCCCATTCACTTTCTTTGTTAGTTTTCTGAGAGCAAGTAACAGCCTTTGAGCCTTTGAACAATAATCTGTAAATCACTGCTGCCTCTTCAGCTGCTTCTGGCAGTTTACACCAGTGTATTGTGGTTGGTCTAACTACTCAGCAACCGCTGATTTATAGGAGACGATACCTTCTTTTTTGCACCTTCCAGTTGAATATATATCATTAAGTTGCTCAGCTTTTGAGGGACCATTTCTGTTTTAAATATGAGGTTTTCTGCATATTGACTTCAAAGGACAGAAAATGCAAGTGCTTATAACACTACTGACAAACACACTTTGCTTGCTAGGGAATTTCTATTTCCTGTCAGTTTCTTCGTTCACTGTCCTTCTCCATTTTCCAATGTTTAGCATGTTCTTATATTATCCTGTTCCTTCACACTGCCGAATAGACCAATCAAGAGGTGGGACCAAGCTACTGAAGACAAATTCACCCATATCAACAAGAAAGAATTCACAAGTATGCTTCTTTCCAGCATGGGATTTTCCTCCCTTCCCTCCCCAAGTCAGATGAAACATTTCTATACTGCTAAAGCAGAGTAACTTTGATAACTCCAGAATTTAACATAGCAAGAACAAAACTGGAAAAAGGATCATAGCTGAAAGGATTGATGATGCTAGCAAACTAGGAGTGCAATTTTCTCAAAACACAGCTTTTGGTTACTGTTCTGGTTTAGTTCAGGGGATTTGATTTAATTTAGAGAAAGGAAGTTTTAAGTGTTTTTTTTTTTTTAATAAACAGATCTGACTTTTATTACTGTTTTCATAATACCACCAATAAAAAAAAAAAAGCTGGGTTTCCTTATCCTTGAGCAAAAGGCAGGAAGGGGGAAGGGCAGTGTCTCCACTGCAGAGTCGGTCCTCTCTCCTTTTGATTGTCCAACATAGTCTGACAACCTCTCTCAAGGAGCAGAAAAAGATCACACCTGAGGAATGAATATCCCTCCCAATGAACAGGTTGTGAAATACTGTCTGAAAAGTATGAAAGATGCAGCATTTCTGCTTTCTTTTCATTCAAATTCTGGAATAATAAATCAGCAGTGCAGTAACCCTGAGCAAGCGCAAGAATTTCTGGACAGCTTGAATTCCTCTTTTGCGTATCAGGTTGACTAGGATTTTTGTCTTTTGCTTTCTTTAAGCTGTTCAGAGAAAGGAACGATACAGGCTTTAATTTAAAGATCAGTCATAATATATCAGGTTTTTTGTTTGGTTGGTTGGTTGTTTTTTTTTCTTGCAGATGATCAAATTTCCTTAGCTGATTCAATGACAATGAAGTGGTTTCAAACTTCGTCACTTATGTATGAGCTCTATGGACTACTATCATAAATAACTGAACAGACAACTCTGCCTAATATTCCTGTCTCACTACAAAGGGAAAAGTTTTAAGTTTACTCTGGACAGGTCCAGAGTAAACACCTAACTTGCAGTTCAAACAAGAACCATCTTAAGGATTGTTTTTCCTCAAGAGCTTCTTTTTGACATGCAACCATGTCAATCCTTCAAAATACAAAATTACTTCTGAAAAAGGCTGCATGATCATTCATTCATAGAAATAAAGGCATTCTGCCTGCAAAATTATTCCAAAAATCCAAAGGCTGCAACCTCAAAATCTCTGCTCTGTTTATTTATCCTGAGCTACTGCTCTTGCAGGAATTTGAAAAGGATCTTCATGAAATGAAATGGTCAGATACATTGTCTTTTCAATCTCCAAGCTAAAAACAAATGTTAATGAATATTTGTCCACAGGCATTTTCAAATCACTGCTTCTTTTCATTCTCCAAGAGCTGCTGCATCTTGTGTCAATTGACAAAAGAGGCGAAAATCGTAGTTAACTTTGCTCTACTCAAACTCCTCAGAGCTAAAAATTGGACAAAAATGTAGTGAAATACATCACTAAACCACTTAAGCAGGGGAGTGGGGCTGGGGCTAAGGGTGCTTTTCTGACTTGCAATCTGCCTTTGCCTGCAGTGTGGGAACCGGTTCTAGACTTTCAAGGGGTTGTGTTTCCATCCCGCATCCCCAAATGTGAGAAGCAGTTAGGAAAAAATCTATAAAATGTTATCTATTCTCCATCTGAGGTATATAAAGTATTACATTGAAGTTAATTGTGCCTGCGATACAGAGTGTTTGGTTTATTTTCATGCAAGCTTTTAACTGCACTGTCATGACAAAGATAGAAGGGCTGCTGTAAGACATGTAGAAATAGCTGCGAGTGAGGGTTTTTGGAGAAATTTATTGAGTCCTATACTAATAATGTAATCAACGCGGTAGAAATAAATACATTAGGACTTTTATAGCAATTTCTACTGTAAGTGGTTTGAAATCTGGCAATAATGCTTTTGTTTAATAGTTGCTAAGTGATATGTAAAAAATAATTGCACTGTGCATGAATTCCTTATTATGTCTACTGTGAAGGTGAAAACGGCCACAGGACAAATGATTCACATGGACTTTGCTAATCTTCATCATTTAAACCAAGCCATTTGTCTAGTGGTTTTATAGTGCATTTTCCCTTTAATCTTACTGCCTTTGGAAAAACAGCACGTCAAAAAGGATATACATGTTCCAAGAACCAGTTAAACACGGAATGTAAATAAATAAATAAATAAAACACTATTTTCCCCTCTGCGAACCACTGAAGCTACAGTGATTACTCTCCCCCATTCACTTTGCATGGATGGAGTGTCTTTTCTTTCTTAAACACAGGCTGTAAGCCATCTCCTCACTGGGGAGCCTAGTGATTAAATTTTTCACTGCTGACAGGCCCTTGTTCGAGTATGAACAGCCCCTGTCCAGCTTGGCTTCAGCTTCAACATCGACCCGGGGAACAGGCTCAGCTCTACTCTGAGGGGGAAAAAAATCCTCTGTTGGACTTTTGGATGCCAGAAAGGTGCTTTTTTGTTTATTATTATTATTATTATTATTGTTTTGTTTTTCACACAGGGCGCCAATGCCACCGCAGTCACGCGGCAGCGGACACAGCGCCACCACAGCCCTCGCTTCAGCTTGAAGGGCCGCCCCTATCCGCCGCGCGCGCCAACACGCAGGCGCCATCGATGCGCCGGCGCTCGGCCCATCGATCGCGCTGGAATCGTGTCCGGTGCGCTGTGGCGTGGCCCGGCCTCCATCTCGGCGGGGAGAGGTGAGTGGAGGTGGCGGCTCTGATCCCGGTCCCGATCCCTGTTCCGGTGTCCGGGGAGAGCGGGGAGCCTCCTCGCTGGTACCAGCTGGCGGCTTTCGGGATACCCCGGCGGCGCCTCCTTCCCCGTGCGCGCCCGGTGTAACGTGTGTTCTGCTCCTAGGCCGGCGCGTGGAACAGGGGAAGATGGACATTAGGCCGAATCACACGATCTACATCAACAACATAAACGACAAGATTAAAAAAGAAGGTATCTATTCTTAAGGGAGCTTTTGATTGCTTGTTCCCAGTAGTTGTGCTGCTGGTCTCACAGATGGGGTTTCATTTTGCTTCAATCAGTGTAGCCACAAGAGGACCCCCCCACGGAATATTAGGTGTCTGCAACAGGCATGTTCGTGTGTGTTCCCCTTCACTGAAAAGTGGGAATATGTTACCCCTTCTCACTTTAATGCCATGAAAATAGCATTGAAAGAGACATAAGGTGACTTGTTTTGATTCGTTTTGTTATTTGTAAATTTGAATAATTGCATGCTACAAAAGATGTATTTTAACTGGTAAGATTAAGGCTTAATTTGCTGTGGAGTTTAATGATTTTTAAATAGTGAAAACATATCTGTAGCAACTGTAAGGGCAGTGTGGTCTTGTGAGAACATATTCCAATCTGTAATAGAAAAAAAAAATCACAGAAGCATCAAAGGATTAAACTGGACTGTTGCAAGCAAAATTTCAAACTTTACTTTGCCTTAAGTTTAGTTTGATTAGCTACTAACTTGCAGTCTGTATTTTCCTTAAGTCTTGGTTTTTATGCCATGGCACATGTTATGGCATCAATCTTTGGCTGTAATGCATAATACTGCAATGTGTATGTTTGCATACATTAATCCTTCAATAACATATACTCCTGTTAAATGGATGGAGGTACAACTTTTTCACAGGGTGAATACCTGTATGTTGGCATATAATGCTTGGTTTTACATTAGGAGAAAAAAAAAGCAAATAAATGAGGTCATGCAGTAACTTTGATCAAACTTACATAGCACATTAACACTTGAGATAAAACAAGCTAAAATGTGCTGTCTGTAGATGACAAGAAACTCTGTAAATTTTGAATACAGCATATAACCTGTATGCTATTTTATTTTTTCCCCATATCCTCAACAGAACTGAAAAGGTCCCTGTATGCGTTGTTCTCCCAGTTCGGTCATGTTGTGGACATTGTGGCTCTAAAGACTATGAAGATGAGAGGACAGGCTTTTGTCATATTCAAAGAACTTGGATCATCCACTAATGCCCTGAGGCAGTTACAGGGCTTTCCATTTTATGGGAAACCTATGGTAAGTGTGTGTGTGGGTGGTGGTGGGGGTGCTATAAGGCTTTAAAATAAACTTGCCATGATGCAATACAGGGTTTTGGTCCTTGGAATTCACATCGCAGTGTTTTTGCCCTTTGAAGACTAACTGCCACATGCTCCTAATTGCTGTCTGGTTTTCAGGGATGTCCTGTCTTGATGAATACATATGATAAATACCTAAAATATAGTTCTTTTTGTAGGCAACAGTGAGGAGGATGGAATGGTTTTAATGGCCTACTCCCTATACTCTTGATTAAGAGAAACGATTGTGGTGATTTTCTTGAAACAGACGTGTAGTTTTTGCTCATTCATACATTAATTAGTAAACATAAATGACAGAGTTTCAGTATAACATCAGTGAAGCAAGTGCAGCAGTGCTTGATATGAGATGATTCAATAAAATACTTGACTGCAAAGTAAGTGTACAATTAGTACACTTTGGTTGTTGCTTGTTTGGATAATTAGGCTTCCCTTAATTCTGTATATATTTTTGAGGTCTATTGACAGATGCAAATGGCCAACCCAACTTCACTGGCAGGTGGATCTATTACAGGCTTTCAAGTCAATTCTTTGAGCATTAAGAAGAACACAAGTGGTTCTTGTGTTGCTGAGCTCACAAGCTTGTTTCATTAACCTCTCCAAATTCTCTAGCAGAAGCTTTAACAAGGAAATGTGCAGTCTCTGTTCCGTCATTTGCCCTTAGAGAATTTTGTGCTCAGTAAAACTCCAAAGGAAATAACTTAGGAAGTGTTGATCTTTTCTTCTTCCCTCTTTGAATATTGCTTGCAGCATGCTTGATCTGTCTGCCCTTGGACAAACACACACACACACACACACACACAAACAAACTGTTTACCTGCTTTGAAGTTACTCTGTGCTTGGAGAGGTGGTCCCTAACAATGGGGAGGATTGCCCATTATGTGTGCGTGTGTGTCTACATTATGTTAAGTGTTTATATACTTGTTTATTTCCTTGAGTGCTCTGGTCAGCCTTTGTCTGGAAAAGCCATGGGCTGTTGACACAGTTTATGCTATTCAGTTTAGATGAAGGCAGATACTTGGCATAATTTTCGTATTTAAGAAGCCTGAGAGTTTTGCTGAGCTCCGTTTTCTGTATTTCAGTAGTGATCTGAGAAATCCCTGCAGAACCTTAACAGCCATGGGAGCGGTTAAGCCTTTACATTTGGGGGCAGGGGTTTAAGCTTTTTGTTGTTTTTGCATCTAGTGTCTTGACAGGCTATGTAAAAGATACTGTTGACTCATTATAATGAGTTCCGATGTCAAGGAGAGTTAAAGCAAGTAAAGTCCAGATTTTTTTTAATGAGGCTTCTATAAGTGTATCCACAGTTCAGAACCGTTTCTTAATGTAAGAAATTCCCAGATGAGATACTTGCACAAAGGTACAGTAGAACACAGTTACTGAACTTGATGTGAAGTGTAGTATAGTGAGTTAGTATAATGAATTGTCAAATGTACCTTTCTGTTTCTTTTTACAAAGCGTATTCAATATGCAAAAACTGATTCCGACATCATCTCTAAAATGCGTGGTACATTTGCTGATAAGGAAAAAAGGAAAGAAAAGAAGAAGGCCAAAACTCTGGAGCAGGCAGCAAATGCAGCAAATAAAAAGATTCTCCTGGTAAGCTGCTTCTGTTTTTTTGGTTTGTTTGTTTTGTTTGTTTGTTTTCTTAAGCCATTTTGAAATCTTCTGTAGTACTAAATGTTGTCTTTTAGTACTTCCCATGAGGTTTCCTGAATTGTGGTCTTTTGGAAACTGGTGATTTTGAGCACTTACTAGAAATTGAAGGAAAGGAGGTGATCACATACTCCTTGTTATCCTTTTTGTGCTCTACTCAGATGAAAACGAAGACGGGTTAAGGTGCGATAAAGTGAAGCAGAATCTAACCTTTTCACAGGATTTGCAAAAGTTGCTATCTTCAGTGCTGGCTTAAAATATTTGGGCAGCCTCACTGTGCTAATACCTTATTTGATGCATAAGCGCTGTGGACTGGTAAATAAGAACAAACCAATCCATTTAGTTATGTAAAAATATAGTAGAAAATATTAAGGCGCTTGAATATTCAGTATGTAATTACTCTTCCTGCCAAGACTTACTTTCGGAGAGTCAAACTTTCTAGGCACAGTATTCTGCTTTCTCATGATTTATTCGCAGTTCATTGGTATATAAATCTGGAAGGAAAGAAGTAATTGCTAACAGTTATAATGGCAGTAACTTTAGTTATAACTTTAGTTTAGTTATTTAGTTTAGTTATTTAGTAACTTTATTTAGTTAGTTATTCCTGTTAAGCTAGAATCCTCAGTGGAAACACCTTTTTCTCTTGTAAGATGTGTCCCATCTAGACGATTTTAAAACCTGCTTCCTTCCCCCTGCTTTACCCAAATTCATACTGTGAGAAACAGTGATTTGCTCCATTAGCTTACTTGGCCATTGGTCAGATCAGATACTGCTGCTGGTGTGGGATTTTCTTGTTTTGGGTTGGACTTTTGTATTTTTCTTTCATTGTCTGGCTTCTTTCATTTCTTTCATTGTTCTGGCTTGAAGTTCAGCAGTATCCACAGGTTTTGTTTCCCAAGAGAAGGTATTTCATAAACCACACGTTTCCTAGGCTACAGCTTAAACTTCTTGAGTTATACAATAACCTGCTGATGGGGTTTTTGTCTTTCTGACTGACCGAACACCTTTGTAAAACTATCCTATACTTCTTCGCTAGGGGACAACACAGAATTCAGCCAATGCCCCAGGGACTTCCTCGCAGAATCCACAGGTAATGCTTTTTGTTTGTAACCAAAAGCACTAATGTTTAAAATTATTCTGTATGATTAACTTCATTATATATAGAATCATGATGGAATCTTGAGGATATATGTTACAGCTTTTTTTTGTCATGAAACCTTTGTCTAGCAGGTACATCACAATAAGAGACAGGGAAAAAAACAAACTGTCTTTACTGTATCTGGCATGAAATGAAAATATGCGGTTTCTCAGTGTTACACAAAACCGTGCATTATCAGCAAATTCTGTTTCATTCTTAAGTTTGGTCTGTATTTAGTATCAGTTGAAGGATTTAGAAGACTGAGAGGAGAGCTGATGAATATGTCTAAGTACCTGAGGGGTGAATGTAGGGAGGATGGGACCCAACTCCTCTCAGTGATGGCCAGTGGTAGGGCAAGGGGTAATGGATACAAATTGAAACACAGGAAGTTCCACCTCCATGCGAGGAAGAGCGTCTTTACTGTGAGGATGGCAGAGCCTTGGAACACGCTGCCCAGAGAGGTTGTAGAGATCTTCAGAACGAGCCTGGACGCGACCCTGTGCCATGTGCTCTAGGTGTCCCTCTTGTGCAGGGGGGTTGGACTAGATGATCTGTAGAGGTCCTTCCAACCTTAACCATTCTGCGTTTCTGTGATTTTTAGACCTCTTCTTCTTTAGTAAAGTCCACCTAACATCCTTTCCTTTTTGTACTACTAAAAACCAAGTAAGAATAATGGTACTGGAGCAGCTGTGCAAGAGTTTTCTTCTGGAGGTGAACTCTGCTTTTTCATGGGAACTTTGCTTTTTAATTTCTTTCTCATACATGTCTTATTTTCTAAAAGATCATGTGGAGATGTAGCTACAACTCACTGTGCTCCATTCATCTTGGCTGCTCAGTGACTTTCTAAATGTTTGGTGTGTGTTAAAAGTAGAGCTCCCAAAGAGTCAGGATTTGTAGGCAAGTTGGTATTTTATAAGGAAGTATTTGGCTTGTATTTCTTAACCTTTAATACTGAGAATTGGGTACCTGACCACAGGGAAAATGTCTTGTTCCCCATGTGCATTTTCTGTTGAGTATCAGGCATAACACAACACAGCCTCTGTGTGCCATTCTCAGCAGACTTGAATAGATCACTGTAATAAAGCTAAGTTTATGAAGTGGGTTTCAGTCACCCAAAGATAGGCTATTTCAGTATCACTGTAGATGAATAAGATATTTATTTTGGCCTCCAAACGCCCTTCTGGGAGACTGCATGTCTTCTATAGGTTCATTATAGGCTGCCCTGTTCTGGGCAGCCTGTGGAACCTGAAATGGCCTTACGGCCACTGCTTGGCCACCTGAGTGCCACCCTGTGCTGCAGTGATCAGAGCAATGGAGTTCTGCAGTGTCAGGTACTGAGCTGCCAAGTTTAATAATAAGCCACCTGAGACAATATATTATCATACGTAGTGTAGAAATAGAGATTTCCCCAAATGGAGATGGATTAAAATAGAGCCAGGGAGCTAGGTCTGGGGTTTGCACAGTGAAGTCCAGCTGGCAGCATGATGAGAAAAACTAAGGAGAAATGAATTTTAGTACAACTGATATTGCATATAGGTGGAGAGGAACACATACCTGTGCATAATCTTCTGAGCTTTGTTCTTTTGTTTTGGTAGGTGCCTGATAACCCACCAAACTATATTCTTTTCCTTAATAACTTACCCGAGGAAACAAATGAGATGATGCTCTCCATGTTATTCAATCAGTAAGTTTTGGATAAAAAGGACTTTGCCTTTCGATGCTTGTTATGTATATGCTTTTTTTCCCTCAGATGACTAGATGATTCTTAGAGGTAACATTTTCTACTCAAGTTCTTTGTCTTACTGTCAAGACTAAAGGTGTCGGTTCTGGTGACTGCTTGGTCCAGAAAGCAAATCAGATTTTTTTGTAGCTTGTTTTGACTGCATGAGTTATCCACTAACATAATGGATAACTGCATAGTCATCTACTAATAATCTGGGACAGATTTAAGCTGGTGACTCTAATATGATAGATTTTATGGTAAACAGTTTTAAAACTACCTTTAGGTACTTCCATAAATGTACAAGACTGACAAAATTACTGCCACTTAATTGAGAAATAGTTCCAAAGATTGGATGTGTAAAACACCTTTAAATCTTTCTTTAGTTGTAACTATGATACTAGTAGATGCTTATGAAAAGGTCTTATTGCTGAAGAAGGGAGATATATTATTAGGAAATGTTGTTTGATTCCTTCAATGTCTTTTTAAAGGTTTCCTGGTTTCAAAGAAGTACGTTTAGTGCCTGGACGTCATGACATTGCCTTTGTGGAGTTTGAGAACGAGGCACAGGCAGGAGCTGCTCGAGATGCTCTACAAGGATTCAAGATTACTCCATCGCATGCCATGAAAATCACTTATGCTAAGAAATAATTGGACATTCTTCTAAGGATGGCTGTTCAACATGATACTGTTTCTGATCAGCTAAAATGTCTGGTGCTCTCTGCAGAAGAGTCAAGACTGTGTAAAATGGCAGCAACTCTCAGGACAGTTGTAGGATTTCCATTCATCTAAGAGATAGATTTTTGTGCTCAAATATAAATTTTTATAAAATTTATCTTGAAAACTGTGTAAGCTATGTTTTTCTTTTTTTCTGTCTCATTGTCATCTGACCATTATTCTGTCTTATGATGGTCTGTTAGGCTTATGAGGCTTATTTGTTATATTGATCTAACTACTTTTAAGGTGACTTTGTTTTTGGAAGAGACTGTTGGAAAAAATAGCTTTTATTTTTAGAATGTTCAATGTTAGAACACTCAGATTAAATACAACACTAGGACTTAATTTTCAGTCTCATCAAGGGAACAGCTGATTTTCAGTGAGACATTATTGAAAATAGGCAGATAATGACTAATTACCTCCCCAAAAAATGGGTGGAGATTTCTGGAGAACTTAATAGCATTATTGTTCAACTCTTTCATTTGTCTTTATAGGCATGGCTGATAGGAGAAGTAGGTGCACAGCAGACAAATTCACTCGTTCCTCCTCTTGAATCTGTGATACTGCCAGTGACTCTTAATAAATGGTTTAGGAAGAGCTTTCTGGCCCTCTAAGAAGACACTGCAGGTGAACCTGGTGGTTTGTTTCCAGGCAGGTTTCTCAAAGTACACATCCTAATGATTCAGTGCTTTCGTGTATCTTTTTTTTTTTTTCCTTTGCCATGTGTTAAATACCTTTTAGTGATCTCATGTGACCAGAAATGCACTGAACAGTGGAGTGATAACATATTAATAGTATCGAAGGTTGTAACTCCCAGGTATTTGGGTGCAAAAAATCACCCAATGCTCAGATGCTCATTAATAATGCTCAAGTTTCTGGTTCAGACGTTGGAAGATTTAAAAAGTTTTTATTTTCTGGGGGAAGGCGGGTGCCCCGTGCTGCCTGTGTGCCCTGCAGTGTGGCCCCTGCAGGGCCACATGTGTGGCCCTTGGAAGAGCCATGTCCGCACTTGTCCCTGCTGCCCTGTTCCTAAGTGAAGACTCTGGCCTGTGAGGCCTCTAGCTACTCGTTCAGGTAAAGAAGGAAAGAGTTGGCATGATTTCCTTCATTAAAAAACGTCAATCAAGCATTGGAATACATAGTGTCTGGATCAGAAATAACAAGAATGTACAAGGTATTATAAAAAAACTGCACTGGAAGTGTTAAGTGCCCTTTTTATTTTTAGTATCTCCAAAGAAGTCTGGCCAATGTTGGGTTTGCAGAGTGGCCCTGGGGGCTGGAACCTTGCTCGGAACTTGCTGCAGCTGCAGAGCCTTTTTTCCCTCTGCTTTGTGTTTCGATATGATGAAGATCAAAATTAGAACCACTTTTTGGAACAAAGCCCTGTACCTCCAGGAAAGTGTGATGGCATTTCCAAACAGCTTGGTGTACTTGCTTGGTTCTGGCATGTCCACTCAGCGCGAGACTTCTGAGCAAGCACTATAATTCAGCATATTTGCATGTATAAAACACACCATTTTTTATTTTGTTTTTTTTTAATTAAAGTAGCCCCTACAAATCTTGCCTCGTATGCTAGGACATGATTTCAGGAAGGTAGCTGAGTTATAATGTGTCCTCTCCAAGGAGCAGAGAGGCATTTGAAAGTCAGCCTGTGGCAGTGAACGTTCAGTGCCTCAGATGTGCTGGTTCTCAAGTGAGTTCAGCTTCGTAGCCTTAAATGAAGCTGTCTTGGCATAACCTCTGTATTGTTTGCTCTCCAAATGCATTTCCCTGTGGAATTAAAATCTTGCCTATACAAATGTGCAGTGCTTGAACTTTATATTTCAAATTTAAATTGTGAAATCTCTTCCTGGCTTTCAGCTCCTAATTGTTTTTATCTGCCTTAAGTGTTGATTTGCAGTCCAGGGCAGATTAGGGCTGTCTAAGTATTTGCGAGAATAAAGAATTTAAGGATTTGAAAGGAAATGGGTTCATGTTCCTGAACACAGGAAGTTCAGTCACCGTGTGAGGAAGAACTTCTTTTCTGTGAGGGTGACAGAGCCCTGGAACAGGCTCTCCAAAGAGGCTGTGGATCTCCTCTGGAGATCTTCAAACCCTCTGGATGCCACCCTGTGCCACATGCTATGAGTGTCCATGCTGGAGCAGGGGGGTTGGACTACATGATCTCTAGAGGTCCCTTCCAAGCTCAACCATTCTGTGGTTCTGTGTTTCTAAGAGGGTTCTGCTTCCCAGTTATACACAGTAGCGTCTCACACATCACATACCACCTGGAACTCTTAATTTTCTTGAAGCATTTGAAACATTGCACAGACTGGAAGGAAAAGTGTTTCCTCTGGGTCTGGTGTGGTCAGGCTTAAAACTAACATTTGAGCATAGCTTATTTCTATATTGAAAACAAATCTGTGAGTGCTAGTTTTCTAATAAGCACATTTATTACTATTGAATGTTTAGCTAAATGTTTTGAAGTCTATAGGAACATTCACGGATTAGTACATGAATCCTGTAATCATATATTGAGTCTTTAACCCTAGGTCGAGATTATTAGGTGGGTTTCATTAGCACAGAGGTAATAAGATGAAATAGAATTCTTCATTTCACTTAATAGTTGCTAAGCTTTGAATTATCTTGTGTCAGACAAGTTTTATTTGAGGAAATTGAAGAAACACATGCAAATCTAGGATAAGTGATTGCTTCTCTGAACGCTGTCAGGTTACTCTGAATTTGGCTCAGAAGCAGTGCAGTCAGAGTACATGAAAGAAGGATTAAATGTAGTTCTCAGCTTTTTTTTCCCCCCTCACTAATATGATAGCCAGTCTGCTGGACGGCGAGGTGAGCTGGAAGGAGGTTGGTTGAAGTGGTGCCTTAGCCTGCAAGCTGACTGGGAGTCCACATCGCTCCGTTGCCAGGCTGCAGTGCAGAATCCTAATCGGGAAGTAAAAGTTTTGCATCAAAACCTCTTGCAAAACTAATGACGTGTAAAGTTTCCCCATTCTTTCACTTTTCTTTCACTTCTTCCACTTCATGCTATAGCAACAAAACTTTAGCTACAAAAAGTAATGGTGATACAGATCAATTCCTGGCTTTGTTTTTCCCATTTTACAAAGGGCACTGGTGGTCAGCAGTGTCCTGCAAACCTGATCTTAAGGATACAACTCTCCCTTAACGCATATTTAAAACTATCCACAACCATCTTAATCCGTGCCCGTCTGGATTTACTGCTTGCTCCAGAAATATTTTGTAGTAAAAAGCGCAGTTTTATACAGAGCTAGTGGTGTACAGTGTGTATGTGGGGAGTGTATGGGGTGAAGTACTTGGGCAAGCAGAAGACCTGCTGCGCTAGTGGGGGAACATTAGCCCCAGGGCTTCTGTCTTTGATTTCCCCCCCAAAACAACCTTCCCTGTTGGAGTCAATGTTCACCATGAGCTAGAGACCTGCTAATAAATCTTTGTGCCTGCGAGCCTATTTCAGCATCCCTCGTGCAACTCTAGGCAATCCATGCTTGTCAGCTGCTGTTCAAGTGATAAATCTTAGGAGATGGCTTTGCCCAGTGCTGCAACTTCTGAACTGTTGAATCACGCACTGAATTTGCTCAATAGCATAGTCGGGGTACACTACAAAAGCCTAAAACTGAAGTGGTGGTGGATTGCTGTTCCTCACTCACTTAAAATCAGCCATCAGCTTTTGTTACCAGTAGGCATCTGCTCTGGAAGGGCTCCTTCTCCTCTGCTTCCAGTGGACAGCAGCATGCATCCTCTTCTAATGTAAATGTTGTAGAGCTTGGGCACTACAGCTGGAAGCATCCTGCAGTAAAATCAGGAGATCTGCACAGGCATGTAGTGAAAGAACAGCAGAGTGCTAGATGAAAGCAATATGCAGTAGAAGTGTATGCTGTGTTGGAAGATTTCAAGCAAAATGCTGGCACTCATTTTCTAGTCACGCTTCTCTGCGGAGAATGTATTGCATAACCTCACTCGAAGGTGAGATTATTCAAACACATATCATGTGTGAGTAAGCAACTGTTGGACAGTAGGAATAAATGTTACTATATGATTCTAATAAATCACAGCGTGGGCATGGGAACAGGAGAGAGGAAGGATTTGTTCTGGGGTTGGGAGAAAGAGAGAGAAACGTTCTATTACCTAACTTAATATTAAAAAATTGTGGTAAGAAATCATACCAGCTATGCTAAAGGAGTCCAATAAATGAGAAAAAAAAAAAGCGAGCGATTTTTCTTTCTTTTCCATAATTGAGGTTACATTTTTGTTTATATAGCAATTTCACTAAAATATTGAGTGTTTGCATCTACTTATGTTCCTTTGGATGGGAGATGAGAGTGCATTAATCCTCGAGTAATCTGAAAACATATTTCATTTTAACTGTTTTACAGGACATTGATTTCTTCTCCGAATAGTGCCAAAAGTGGTTAGATATCTCTAGGCTGCTACCAAGAAATGATGATAGAAACCAGCCTAATCAACCCGGACTCCCTTGCTGGACAACACAATACTTTTTCAATAGGCAGTTGTAAAGTATGTAAAGGCTTCAAATTAGAAAGCTGATTAAAGGGGTTTTTGAGAAGCATATACTTTGTTGCCTGTCAATAACATTAATAGCCCTTGAAATACTGTAAATCTTATCAAGTAGCATAGATACGCTTTGAAGGGAGATGTTCTACCTTGAGCAGCCTTTATCTCCCTGCCCTAACCTTATGTCTTTGGTTAAATAAAAATTAAAATACCTTGCTTTTGTGGGCTTTCTCTACCTTGCTGGAGTAAAGCTTTTGTGAAAGCACTATCCTACAACGCTGAAACCCCCAGTACCTGTAACCTTTCCTAGCGCGTGCTCATTCCCTCATGCCCCCCCCGCCTAGCGTTCCCCGTTTTCCCACGATCCTTCCTCAGAGCCGCCGCCAGGGGGCGGAGAACCTTCCAGAAGGGCGGGCCGCG